AGTATGATCACATATGAAACAGTGGTGGGTTTCAATTTATTTTATTACCGGTTCACTCGTGTGCATGCTCGCAGAAGCGTCTGTGTGGGTGGTGGAGCCTCCCACTGCCGCCACTACTGGTTCGCCCAATCTGCGGTGAACTGGCAGAAACCCACCTCTGATATGAAACATGCTGTTAACATGAATGGTGATATTATTCACTGTATTGTCTAACTCAGTGGTTCTCAACCTGTGGGTCGGGACCCCTTTGGGTCTTTCAGGGGGGTCGCCTAAAACCACCGGAAAAAAATCTAACTTGTTGAAACTTGTTCTAGAATGTGAGGTCAAACTGTAATGTGACTCTTTATAATCCTAAGAGTAAACAAAACTGTCCAAGTTCTATCTTGCCAGAGACTCCATTTAGAAGAAAATTGTGTGGCAGAATTATTACTAATTTTTGTTTATATGGCAACTTTGAATCCATGCCAAGACAAATGATCAAATGTTAGGAAAAGAGAGAACATATTTAACTATTTTGTCAAAGCACTCAAATTAGCTGACAACAGGATAGCAGGACGGAAGTGAAATGAGAGAGTAAATATATTGAGACCAAGCAATGGCCAAAAGAGAACTTATGGCTGAATAGTAGAGGTTTTGGAGTTCTGCCATTTAGAGCTGGCATCACAAACTGTGAACTTGTATGACAGCCATAGTTAAGTAACACAGATGATCTTAGCACTACAAAACTTTCCAAAATTCTAGTGATGCGAATTGTATGCTTTTTAAAAGACAATGCAAAAATGGCTACTTAACAAAGAAGACCCAGAGGGACATAAGATTAATGAATTACAGGCATTGGAAAGTAAAGTTTCTATTAATTTATGAGAAAAATAAACTGTTTAGACTTGTTTATATGCAAACATTTTATAGCCATTCTTAGGCATTAATAGAAAGTTTTATTAGTGACCATCATGATGATCTTTCTTCCTAAAATAAACATAACTTCCTAGTTTGGAGGAAATATCATGCCCATTCTAAGGGAAGTTTATATGAATATATGTAAGGTTTACATGAAACCAGGATCATCATTACTTTTCTGTTCTGAAAAGGTTTCATCATCTATAGGGCACTAGTAAATAGAATAAACTTACCATGAACAAATGTGTAGTACATTACAACATTCTACAGGGATGTAAAATGTATTATCATAATAATTTGATTAATATGCTGAAAAATGGCAGTTAATTCCTTACTTTTACAAACAAGCAAAGCAGGATTCATTCCAGTTTGAACTTTCTTCAGCAACTCTACAAATGGTTTCCATCTACACATGGAAATATATTAAAGTTAAATACAATTAATGCAAGCAGATTTGTTTGACAGCAAAAAGAACCAGTGTGTTGAATTAAGCCACTGTTCTATCCCAGGTATTTTGGGTTATTCTATATGTCACTCCAGGCCTTTTCATCTACCTGTGCTTAGCATAGATGGCCCCATTCATACTAGTGTCTAATTAATCACCTCATAGCCACTTAAATTCTTATATCTAATCTTTAAAATTCTAAAATTTCTAATTTAGAATTTCTAACAATTCTAAATTCTAAANTGTGCAACACATGTAAAAAAATATTCATAACTTTGAATTCTCAGCATTGGGCCACCCTCTTGAATTCCTTACCATATGTTGCAGACAAACCTGAATCTTCATGTAGAAAATTCCTCTAGATGAACATGCCATTTGGAAAAATGAATTTTCAAAACAAATTCCTACAACTATTTTGCTACTTTTTTGAGTTTGAATTGAGTTCTATCATTACAAATAACAAAGCCAGCAGAGGACACAAAAAGCAATTCTTTGCTGTGGAGATGTGTTTCCAAAACATATTTTGAAAATTTGTCAAATTTTCAATCAATATTTCAAATATATACAATCCAGACTTAGTAGCAAATACATTTCACACAGAAAGCTTTATTTAAAAGTATTACTGAGAAGGGATTTCTATTTTTACAGTATGCATATATATATATATAATTTTATGTCAGTTGAAAATTAAAAGTAGGATTGTTTATGTACTGAATTAGCAAGTGGGTAGACAACCATGAGAAAACTCTCTCTTGGTAGAGTTTACAGCTCCTTCAAGTATTGTAGTAAGGGTTGCAGTGGCAGGTCTTGGCCATAATGAAAAGGCCGAAATGCTTTATCAATTTTTAGAGGACTGAGGCACAGGTCATAAATTTGATTGTAGTTATGGATCAAACGTTTGGCCTTTTCTTTTTCCAGCTTGCCTGTAGTTCATTAAAAAAAAGTTTTTTCTATTTGAATCAGATGTAATAACATATTGTGGGGTATCCTTGAAAAGATTCAGTGTAATGTCAAGGCATAGTTTAGTGTTATAGGAATTACTGTGACTGCTGTGCTCAATTCTTATTCATTTTTTAATGAGGGGGAAATGTGAAAAATGTCCCCTTCTGGAATGATTGGGCCATAGTGGGGATAGAGAGGTAGAAGCAATGGTAAAATAAACAAGTAAAGGATTCCCTGCAGATTTTACTCCGCTAGTTGTTGCTGACTATGGGGGGGGGAGGGGTGTTAATTCATCGCTGTTTCAAGGCCACTGACCCAAGACCTTTCTGAGATTGTGTGGCCAGCATGACATCATGGAGCACTGTTTCATTCCCTCTGAAGAGGTACCTGTTTATCTATTCGCTTTTATGTGCTTTCGAACTGCTAGGTTGGCAGGAACTGGGACAAGTAATGGGAGCTCATTCCGTTACTCCGGCGCCAGGGATTTGAACCACTGAACTGCCGACCTTTCTGATTGACAAGCTCTTCCAGAGGTTCTCTACGCCCTGGATAAGATCAGCCTCCATGCATTAACTATGTTTCCTGATCAAGCTCCTTGTCAGTACCTACACAGCATGGAATCATAGCGCTGGAGCTGGCAGTGCATATGATGACATGATCGAGGGCAATGCATTCAACCCAGTTGTGCCTCTGTGCTTTCTCAGAATTACAGAAATTAAAGCTTGGAAAGGATTACAATTTGCTTGAATCATCCAGTGGTGCTCATGTAGATAGAAAGTAAAATATGCCATCTATCTTCAGTAATGTTAGTTAAGCAGAACTTTGTTTGGGTGGGATCAGCCTTACCTGTGTTTTTGACATCAGATAAATAAAGGGCTTTCTCCATTTTTCTGAATCGGTCTATCCAGGCCTCTTGGTCTTCAGAGTCACTGGCATCATACAAATTCCATGGATTAGCAGTTTGAAGTTTATACTGTTCTTTAATCTTCAAAGGAACATGTTATATTATCAGAAGTTTAGATTTGTCAGCTCTCATAATAAAATTGTGATGAAGAACTGTGCTTAGTTCACTGTTAGAACTCCTCCCAACATTTAGCAATTATTATATACAATTTCTTCATTCAACGTATCAAATGTGTGGCTTTCTGTGACAAGATCACTTATATAATGCAAGCATTTGCATTCTATGAACATCCAAGTTCAACCTTCTTCATTTGGCATCTTCAACTCTTAACAAGTGGGCCAAAATTGAAATATTTCCTAAGGGCACCATGCTGCAGGGACGCTATCCTAGATAATGCTGAGGGTTTAATCTCATTTTTTACACTGGATTCCAACAGGTTTTAATAGACAGAAATGGATATACAAAACTTCTAAACAATTTGTGTTAATAAAACAATATTACTGTTTTATCAACAAGAAGTTCTAGCATAGGAAATTGTGTCAAAATTAATTAAACCAATTAAATGATGAGTAACGCATAATTTTCCATTAAGAGTTTGTGGATTTATCAATAGGGATTTTACAGTACCTGAGAATTATCTTCAGTTTTCTCCTCAGTTCTTCCTAAGATGGAAACAACTATGAGGTTTTTGTTTATTCAGTTAAAAGAGTTTAATGACACAATTTATCAAGCAATGGTTTCTCTCAAAAGTGATAGGAAGACATTTCTGAAGCTATAAATGCTAATAGTTTGAACACTTATTAATTCCTGATATGTTTGTAATTGTACAATAAAAAAATTTGAGCTGTACTGAACTTGCAGAAATGTTGATGAAGTTCATATCTCAACATCATGAACTGTTTAAATGCTGGACGTGTAGTTCAGCAACATCTGGACCAGGGGTGGTATTCACTTACAGTAACTTCCTTACCGGTTCGCAAATGTGAGCGTCTCCACGTCCATGCATGCCCTCAGCCTTTCACACATGCACTTTGGCTTCAAAACATGCGTAAATGGGATAGCATAGAGTCGGAGCTGCTGGGGGGGGCCACCCACGATTTCCACTACCGGTTCGGAAGAACTGGTCTGAACCGGCAGAATACCACCTCTGATCTGGACACCTATCCTGTTTCCCTGAAAATACGAC